TTTGGAGATTTCGGCAGCTTGTTTAAATGTATCTGGGCTTTTCATGGTTCTGTGGGTCAGGTTGGTGTTTGGTCCAGTTCTGGTTCATATCTGGACCAGCTGGTGGAGCAGAGGGAGAACCAGGACGGCTTGCATGTGTGTGCATGTTCATGTTCCTCCAGCTCCGTCGACCAGGGGGTTCTGGCTGTGTGCAGCTGGCAGGGTGACATATCTACACGGCCCCCCGGGGGGTGGAGGGGGGGCGGTCAAAGTCTCCGGGGTTTTAGTCAATCTGGCCGCCCCACGGCCACACTGATCTGCCCTGCCCTCATCTGCCCTGACTCTGTAACTGCCACGGTCTCATCAGCACAGTCCTTCTCCACCATCGTCTTCATCTCCAATCTGCTTTAACCTCTTTGTCTCCCATCGTCGGTTCAGCCAATCAGCTTGTCCGTCCACTTCTCAAGTTTCTTTTCTTTTTCTTTTTTTTTTTTCCTCGTTTGATTTGCAGAAAATTGCAGAAATCCTCCACAGTGACAGCGGCACCAGATTATAATCTGTATTTACTGCAGTACTGCACACACACACACACACACACACACGCACACACACCAGTCCTTGATGTAGTAATGACACTAATGCAGAGTAAGTGGATTGTCCTTGAAAATTCCTGGATTCCTGTTAAGATGTCTGAGCAGAGGAGTTTGCGCTGCTGACGTCGAGGTCACGCGCACACACACACACACACACACACACGCCTTTTGAGTTCCTTTTTAATGTAAATATTTTTTTCACACACCAACAACAACAAAAAAGTATGTGCTGTACACATTTGATATGATCTCGAGGGCCCAATATAAATACACTGCGGGCAAGATTTGGGCCCCGGGCCTTAGTTTGCCGCGTGTGATTTAGAGGATAAGGATTTAGTTTGGGTTCAGGATTAGAATTCTGGTCAGATTAGAGTGAAGGGAAGGATTAAGATTAGGCAAATATTTGTTAGAGTAAAGGTTAGAATAAAGGCCGTACAGGATGAATTATGTGTCTGTGTGACATAATACCTGGAGAAACCTCCTCCATTTCTTCCCCCTCCATTTGTCCCCCTCCTCTTCCTCCTTCTCCTCCTCCTCTTGCTGCTCCTCCTGGTACCTCTCTCTGTGCACTAGCAGTGCCAGTCACTCAGCCCAGTCTCTGCACCATCTGCATATCAGCTCCACATCCTGGGCCAAAGCATTAAATTAAATCCCTGTTTGAGTTGATTAACAAATGGCTGGTGAGCTCACATAGTTATGGACCTGTTTGTTTCATTGTCATCAACGTGTTTCATCTTTTCCCTCTCAGAGGAGCAGAGGTGTGCAGGTGTCCTGTGAAGACAGAGGAACCACAAACGCGTCTCCTTTTTTAATTTGTCAGAATTTTTTTTTTTTTTCTTCTTCTGCTGGCTCACATTTTCTACCTGTCCTCCATCCCCTCTTTCTCCCTCCTCCTCCTTCTCCCTGTCCTGGAGTGGATTGTTAATGGCTTTGCTAATTGAGCGACAGACAGTAAGCACGTTGTTGTAATTGTCCAATCAGAAACTGTTGGAACAAACAGGCCACAGCTGATTCATCCCCGACTCCCTGACTGATGGAGGAGGTGCCAGCCAGACTGATGTCTCCTCCACTCTCTGAATAACTTTCAAGAAATGGAGTTTTTCATCTGTGGCTCCTAAAACAAAAAAGAAAAACGGTTTTCTTGTCTCATCAGTGGACAGGATTGTTTATGACAATGTTTTTATCCCTTCACGGTAGACGAAGAAGACGACGACGACGAAGAAGATGAAGATGCTAACTTTTATCCCTTCACGGTAGACGAAGAAGAAGACGACGAAGAAGATGAAGATGCTAACGCTGCTCAGGTTCTTTTTCTCATACTTTAAGATGAGTTTAAATATTTTTCAGAGGCTTCCTTTGTAATTGTCCTCCGCTCCTCTGATCTACTCACGTTTCTCCTGTATGGATGATTGTCTCACATGAATCACAGACTCTTGTTGTCGACGGCACTTTGGAGCTGAGTGTTTACTAATTGGCCTTAAGGGAAAAGTAAAGTTGTACCAAAAAAAAAAAAAAAAAAAAGAAAAGTCTAAATGAAAGTGAAGTGAGGAGTCGTAGAGATGGTGTGGGAAGGAGACCGGCTGTTCTGTTCTTCTCCAGCAGTCCAAACCAGAGACATGTGGCTCTCCAGACAAGCTGTCCAGAGTGGGAGAGCTCGCTGGACTCATTACAGGCAGGGCCAAGACGGGAGAGCTCCACAGAACACCAGTGGATCACTCCAAGAGCTGGAACGATCGGACCGAACCAGAGCTGCTCTGCCTGAGCTGTGTGTGTGTGTGTGTGTGTGTGTGTGTGTGTGTGTGTCTGATTGGAATGTGACGTGTGGACAACAGTCCATCTCTTTCCTCCGTCTGTGCCTCCCCTGGCTGCCCTGTACTCTCTCCTTTTCTCTCTCCAGTGTACACACACATTCACCCCCCCCGCCCCCCCATCCTCCTCACCACCACTACCCTCCCACACACACACACACACACACACAGACCCAGAGAGCTGCTGAGACTGGTCCAGAAAGATTGCTTAGGTTTGGTTTGCAGTTGTACTGGACAGCTGAGTGATGGAGAGTCCAGACACAGGCGTCCGTTGGAAACTGACTCACAGAAACGACTGGACGTGGACCAGCAGCGGACCAGCAGTGGACCAGTTTATCACTGCCAGTTTATAATAGTTTTATTAGTTTAACTTTCTCCTCCTCCATTTTCTCTCCTCTTCCTCTCCGCGGCTGTGACTCGTCATCAATCTGTCAAATTCACAACGTGAAATGCAGCAGATACAAGATTAAATTAAAGTTGACTCTCTGGAGCAGCAGAGGTCGCCCAAGTGCAGCTTCACCTTAGTTTTACTTACCTTGAAAAGCGCTGTACCTCAGGTCAACACTAGGGATGTAAACGATGCATCGTAAATAAAAAAAAACAAAACGATACAAATGCGTGAAAATGAATCGAACATCAAAGTTTAAGGA